AAGAGAAAGAACTGGAGAAAATCACAAAATATAAAGACCTGCAAATAGAATTAGAATGACTGTGGCAAAAGAAAGCAAAGATAGGTCCCATAGGCATAGGCACCTTGGGTGCAATCCCAAAACATCTGGAGCACCACTTGAAGACCTTCGGCACTGACAAAATCCCCACCAGTCCAATGCAAAAGACAGCTTGACATGGAACAGCTTCTATCCTGTGATGATACCTTTAACATCAACAAACACACACATCTGGCTGTCCCAGGTCCTTGGGAAGGACTCGATAGGTGGGCAAAAATGCCAAACCCAGTCTAAACACCTGGTTGGCTATGCGAACAACCATAATAATAATAATAATACTCCCAGGCTTCCAACTGGGTAGAGCAGAGGAAGGTGCCCTTCTACCATGGGATTTGGTGAAGGGGAGAATTTCATTTGCGCAAATTCATAATTGCACAATCCCAAACATCTCTGGGGGAAGGCTCCTTCCTGCCTTTCTCACTCCCATGTCCTGAAAGTTAAGGAGGAAAATCAGACAGGGGGGTTTCTTCATCATCGACCAGTTTCTCCACACTGGTCAGTTTCAATCCGTTTCCTCCTCCCCTCCCTCCCCCTTGCCACGAAGTAAGAGACCTAGTTGCTCAGCTGCTCCTCCGCCCACTTCTACAGCTCTCCAGCAGCGAATGTGGCAAGGTCTGTCTGTCTCCTCTTGCAGCTCCTGCTGTCTCTGCATGTGTCTCTGTTTATCCTGTCCAATTACAATCAGTTTCATGCTGCTCAGTTAATTTAAACAATTTCGTAGACACGCATTTATCGTTGGTGCAACCTTCCCATATGTTTCTTCATTTCACGTTATTTTAAACTTGTGAGGTGACCAAATTTGGGGGGTGGGGGATGGAGGAGAGACGAACCAGCCAACCAGAGGCGGCTCCCAAATTGTACAGATGAGCACTAATTTGGGATATACCTGGTTCATGCTGGAGTGCCCTAGTTGATGGATTTCCTTCCCCCGGGGCATGGCAGAAAACCTTGGGAGCAGAGGGGACAATCAGGGAGACCATAAGGACAGGAGCACCTGGGAACGTAGACATTTGGCAGGGAGTTGCAACTGAGGGAGGATAGGATGAGCAATGCA